AGCCTAATATAATGATGGGGGGAGAAGAAACCCGTCTTTTAAAAATCCATTTCACAAACTTTTTTAAATTCTTCACTCAAGTATAACTAATCAAGTCATATTTTTTAATTGAGAGAGGTCTTACAAATGTGGAATGATTTTCAGAACTTAAAAATATCATTTATAATTTTTTAGCATCCACTTTCCAAATACATTTCCTCATTAACACACCCAGTTAACTGGGGTCTTTTTCAACAAAATAGATTTAAGTATTATAATGTACTTTCTTAGAAAAAAGAGATTACTTACTTTCCTTTTGAAGTTTTTGGAGTTTGCCTCATGAACTGTTAAAGCCTATAAAGGAAGAAACAGGGTCTTGATCATTCACAGTGGATCCTAGGAGGTGCTTAATAATTTTACTTCGAGTAGCAGAACATGCCAATGCTATAAAATTCTTACCTCAAATAAAGGCTTTTGTAAATAGAAATTTATAATTTATATGCAAGTGCTGTTATGGTATAGTCATAGCTTTTATTTTTAACTTATTTACTGTTGACACTATTACAGATGTCCCCCGTTTTCTCCCCCTTTGCTCACCTCCACCCAGCTCCCACCCCTCCTTCCTTCTGGCTATCCCCACACTGTTGTCTGTATCTCTGTGTTATGCATATATGTTCTCCGGCTAATCTCTTCACCTTCTTTCATCCAGTCCCCACTACCACCCTCCCCCTCTGACAGCTGTCTTATATATGCCTCTTGTGGGGTAGAAACACTCATTATGGAAATGCCAAGTCTTCCTAAATTATTTTATAATTTTTTTCAAGCAATGGGTAATGACTTCCAGGAGAGTCCCAGCAGACTTCTCCCCAAACCCTCACACCTAATTGCCCATTCAACATCTCCACTTAGAGATCTAACAGTCATCTCAAAATTAACAGCCCCTAACTTGAAGTCTGAACCTTCCTATTCATTCATCTGTTCATCCATTCAATATTTACAAAGTGGCATCTGTTGCTTGTCACCAGGAGTAAAAGTCCAAACACTTCTGCCCACTGCATTTTGGTACTGGAGTCACCATGGAAAACAACACAGTCAAGCACCAGATGGAAGAGCACTTTACACACATGGAGAAGCAGCAGTAAGTTAAGTATCAGTAGTAATGTCGGTTTTCCGGTAGCCATGGGGTCCCTCTTGGCAGCCATGCAGGGCAGTTGGCCTGCGCTCACCCCTCTCATGCAATAGCAGAAGAACTCCCCTCCCCCAGTATCAGGGGACAGATACAGCAATGGGGTTGGCCAGCTGCTATATGATGGTTATGCAGAACAAAGGAGCACAGGCTGTGAGGACTCATCTCTTGGTAAAAAAGCATTCCAGGCCCATGGCCCATTCTTACAAGTCTGAGACGGGGTCAAAAGACTGCATGCACAGCTCTCTTTCTACACAAAGCATGTACCAGACAGTTGTAGGCATCTGGCTCCCAGTTTCCCATCTTGAAATACAGTAATTCTATCCTCCCATTTCCTTAGGCCAAAACTGTGGGATCATTCTTGAACCCTCTCCTTTTCTCATACCCATATGCAATCCATCAGCAAATCCTTCATGTCAACCTTCAAAATATTCAAAATCTAACCATTTCTCACAGGTCTGATCTGAGTTATCATCATCTCTAGTTAGATTATTATAATAACCTACTAACTTGATTTCCCATTTCTGTTCTTGCTCCCCCTTTCCAACACATTTTATTTTTAATACAGTAGGCAGAGTAATCCTTTGAAAACCTAAGTCATATATCATTTCCAGCTCACAGCCCTGCAGTAGCTTTGCATCTCATTCAGACTTATGCAAGGTGCTCCACAGTCTAGCCCTCCAATGCCTCTCTGCCCCAGCCACACTGCCCTCCTTGCTGCTTCTTGAACACACTAGGCCCATTCATGATGACAAACCTTGGGGCTTTTGCAATTGCTGTTCTATCTGAAATTATCTTCTAGATCCATATGACTTGATGACTTGCTCCATCTTCTTCAGGTCTTTTCCTTTTTTTTTTTTTTTTTAATCTTCACCAGAGAATATTTTTTCCATTGCTTTTTTTAGAAAGAGGAAGGAAGGAGGGGAGAGGGAGAGAAACATTATGTGAGACAGAGACACACATCAATTGGTTGCCTCCCACACATGCCCCAACGGGGACAGGGAACCTACAACCGAGGTCCATGCCCTTGGCTGGGATCAAACCCAGGAACCTTCAGTCCGTGGGCCGACACTAACCACTGAGCAAACTGGCTAGGGCTTCAAGTCTTTTCTTAAATGTCATCTTTTCAGGTAACACCTTTCCTGACCATCCTATTGAAAACTGCCACCAATTTCCCTGGTTACCCAAGCCAGATCACTCCTATTGCCTTCTCCAGCTTTGTTGATCTCCACAGATGTTTTTTCCATCTTATCACTTTTGTTACTCTATATTTATTTATTTAGCTCTCTGATTGTCTTCTTTAAAAGATAATTGATAAACAGGATTATAAACAATACTCAATCCAAAAAAATGCAGAATAAGAATTAAAAGGGAACAAAGAACAGTTGGGAAAAACAGAACAAAAAGCAAGATTACAGACTCACATCCAACCCTACTGATGATCACCTTAAAGGTAAATGGCTTAAAGTGCATTTCTTGTAGAAAACATATACAGGGTGGAATAAAAGCAGGTTTACAGTTGTTCATACAGAAAACAATACAATAATTAATAAATAATAATACAAGAATAAAGTCTGTTTTTCACATACTTACTACAATAAACCTACTTTTGCTCCACCCTGTAGTGTGGCTTACATTTTTATCCTAGTGCCAGATAAGATAAAAATATAAGATGCACCCAGCCAGCCTGGCTCAGTGGTTGAGCACTGACCTATGAACCAGGAGGTCACGGTTTAATTCCTGATCAGGGCACGTTCCCAGGTTTTGGGCTCAATCCACTAAGGGGCATGCAGGAAGCAGCCAATCAATGACTTTCTCTCATCATTGATGTTTTGTTTTTTCTTTAATCTTTATTGCTGAAAGTATCACAGATGTCCCCCT